TAAGAAGGCAAATAAAGAGGAGAAGTTAGCGGTCACAGCAACTAAGACTGCAGCCTTTGTATGCTTGTATGAGGAACTTGGGGGCAGATGCAGTGACAAGGAACTATTCAGGTTAGCCAAGGCAAGAGAGAAGAAGGCTCGGGACCTAGACTAAGTGAGATGCATCAAAGACGAGGAAGGCAAGGTATTGGTGGAAGAGGCGTGTATTAGGCTATTTTCCTATTCCTAGTCCCTTATTTTTACACCGTGTGTCATTATTATCAGTAGGATTGGCACTATTCTTGTAGTTTCGTATCCTTGGATCTTTGTTATTACTCGTTGTACCATTTGCTTTCATTGCCTTATTACCTTGTTGTTACTATTGTTTGTCTATTGCTTCATTTTCACTATTCTTGAGCCGAGGGTCTTTCGGAAATAGCCTCTCCACCTACATAAGGTAGTGATAAGGTCTGCGTACACACTACCCTCCCCAGACCCCACTTGTGGGATTTCACTGGGTTAGATGTTGTTGTTTGTTGTTATGATAATAACCTTGCATTTCAGATAGATATTTCCATAGATCTATCCAGTCCAATAACTACCAACATAACAACTCAAGGAAGAGAGTAACAAAAGTCAAGGTACCTCAAGCGCTTTTCCTCTCTGTATTATTCCGAGAAATCAATTGCCTCTGTTCAGGAAATGCTAGCCTTCATCACCACCTGTGTCTGCATCTGAAGATCCATCTGCGTAGCATTCATCATTCATTTCGATCTCTTCTTCATCACTCTCTTCTTCTCCTGTATCCTCTTCATCAACTACATTGTCCAGCTGCGGCAAAATGTCTATTCCTTTGCTTCGATAAATTAACCCTGTCCTCATAACATGATGAAACTTATCTCTGTGGCGAGTCAGAGGACGCGGATTTACAAGTCTTCCACGACGGTACCCCTCTCTCAACGCCACAGTCGTTGTCTTGCACTTCAATGAGAGGTAGAATATTCCTGGATACCTTGTAAATATTCGAGTAAATCTATGTGGAAGATTTAGTTCCTCTCTCAAGCTCCTCAAGTAATTTCTCTTTGTTTTCTTGTATAGTGTCAAGCTTAGAAACTCATGTAAAACCCCAACTATTCTCTTTTCCATAAGATCACTATCGGGGTCGATTCCCCTTGAATCCTCATAAGGTGAGATGTAAGGCAGCTTCTGAAACTCATCCATCCACGCTTTGACCTTCTTCTGTGCCCCGTATCCCCTTGGGAAACTCATTGGGAATTCTAATGCAGCTTTGCCCCTTTTAAATTCTCTATACCCAGGAGGGCTGTCATCGTCTATTGTGCTCTTCTCATTCATCTTTTGCAACTCGGAGACACCATATTCTTCTGGCCATTGAACAAGTTTTAAGCAAGCCAATCCATTCGTTCCCTTAACTATCCTAAAATGATCAGGAAATTTCTTAATTAAATTCTTATCAAAATCATCGGGCAATCCTAAATCCCATTTCAAAGGATGTAACGACTGCAGCGCAACCTGAAAATATTAAAGAAAATTTGAAGAATTTAGCACCAAGAAAATGGGAGAGGGAGAAACAAGTTCCACATATGGAAAAGAGCAGTACTGGTACTTTATTTTGAAATTCACAAAATGGGAATAAATGGTATTTTATCTTGACTTTTAAAATCTACACTAGGATGGAAGTCTTTATAACTAATTCAAATTGGTCTTCAGTTATGTCCTCCAATAACTATCATACCCCAAAACCACAATTTGCAAAGCAAATTTTCATATTTTTACAGCATTTTCCAATTAATAGCAATCACAAGCAAATTTGCAGTCCACTAGATCCTCTCCATAAGCATGATAGGTAAAAATACAATGACAAATAAAATTACATTCAATTGGCAATAATCCTCAAGAAAAAGCTCCAATCTTTTTCCTATTTTTTTCCCGAGCAGTAGGATAGCGTAAGTGCTAAAGTTATTGCCATGTGACTGGGAGGTCACGGGTTCAAGCCATGGAAACAGCCTCTTGCAGAAATGCAGGGTAAGGCTGCATACAATAGACCCTTGTGGTCCGGCCCTTCCCCAAATCCCGCGCATAGCGAGAGCTTAATGCACCGGACTGCCCTTTTTAGGAGGATATGCTAACAATATTCACAAATCAACAACTATGCCTTAGTTCCAAACAAGTTAGTGAATCTTCACTAACCATGTTACTCCATATAAACTCAGACCAATAGTATACAAATAAATTTAAATTTAAATAAACTCATTTCAGGCCAAAGTGTTAAAAGAAGTACCATTCTGTTAGTTGTCATCATAAGAACTTTGGAAAGCCTTTGAACCAAATCAGTCGGGTTATCATGTAAGAGCTTCAGTTCTTGATCATGAAGAATTTTAGCAATATGGGTAAGTTTAAAACAAGGCAAAGAAGGGTACTTTGGGTGAGGAAACTCTTCAAAAAGAGTTGGATATCTTCTAATAAACCTAAGTGTAGGAACTGTAAGTCCAAGAATCTTTTGTGAGTCAGCAAGTGACTTAGCAGTTAGATAACCAACTGGTGAACGCACAATAGCTTCTTTTAATAAACAAGCTGCTTTAAGATCCGTTTGAACATCGATTATGTGGTCCAAACCTCTGTTTTTCACCCATTTTAAACGGACTTTTACTATGGTTCTGTGTTGCTGAAGGTTGTGACTATGGGATGCAAACTGTTGGGTGGCTATGGATTTTAGGATTGAGAAAAGAGATTTCTGTATCAAATTCATATGTGGGTTTGTGTTTGAGAGGGAGAAAATTGTGTTGCATACGCACTATGGTATGGTTTTGGGGGCTAGAGGGATTGGACCTATAGCCTCTGGGTTTTGCAGAAGGGGAGGAAAGAAGTGAGAATTTTCGAAACGACGATGTTCCGTCTTTTTCTTTTTCGTAATTACTATACTTGGATCCCTATAGTTTGTAAAATTACAGCTTAGCTTTATGGTTGAAACAACAACAACAACAATGACCCAGTATAATCCCACAAGTGGGGTCTGGGTAGGGTAATATGTACGCAGACCTTAACCTTACCCCGAAGGGTAGAGAAGCTGTTTCCAGGAGACCCTCGGCTCTAAAAAAAAAGAGCAACAGGAGCCGATATATTAGTACCATAAAAATGCATAATAAAATAACAACAATATAAGAGATATGAAATACAGAATACGAAATACGAAATAGATGGCTGGTATAGTAAAACTAGCAAGTAAAGCCCTACATCAATAGACGACCAATTACATTCTTAGTCTAACTCCTAACTGGCTATTCTCACTCTATTGTGCTGTAGAAATATTCACAAGTTTCCCCTAACCTACAACCTTAATGCTCGACCTCCATAATTCCCTGTCAAGGGTCATGTCCTCAGCAATCCTAAGTCGCGCCATGTCCTGTCTGATCACCTCTCCCCAATACTTCTTAGGTCGCTCTCTACCTCTCTGCGTGCCCACTACAGCTAGTCGCTCACACCTCCTCACTGGTGCATCGGTGCTCCTCCTCTGAATGTGCCCGAACCATCTGAGTCTTACTTCCCGCATCTTGTCCTCCATGCGGTCCACGCCCACCTTCTCTCGAATATCTTCACTCCTAATCTTATCCATCCTAGTATGCCCGCACATCCACCTCAACATCCTCATCTCTGCTACTTTCATCTTCTGGATGTGTGAGTTCTTTACCGGCCAACATTCAGTTCCATATAACATGGCAGGCCTAACCACTGCTCTATAAAATTTACCTTTTAGTAACGGTGACACTTTCTTGTCACACAAGACTCCCGACGCTAACCTCCACTTCATCCACCCCACCCCTATACGGTGTGTGACATCCTCGTTAATCTCCCCGATCCCCTGAATAACCGATCCAAGGTACTTTTAGAAAACACTTTTCTCCCAACTTTGTGTGAAAAATTACTTCCTCACAAACTTCAAACTACAACTATTTTCCCCCTTTAATTATCGAAATATTTTCATTAACCGGTAATTTAATAAAAAATAATGTCCATATTACCTCCTAAGATTATTAACACTCACTTTTATGGAATTTTTAATTTTAAAATATATCACCACTATTTCTGCTTTTTTGTCCATGAGAGTTGCTAAATCCACTTTATGTTCTACTTCCCATTCTCGTTCTATATTTTGTGATTCTCTAAATCCATTTTCATTGTAAATAGAAAAGCTCCTTTACATATTTCTTGCAAAATCTGAAAGTACCATAGGAGGATGAATTGTTGACTAGTTTACCAATTAGTCGACTGAAAATAAAAACAGAATATAACTGAAAGCAGAAGTAAAATACAGGAATTAAAGACACTCAGATTTTTATACTGGTTCGGATTTAATGTGAATCATACTCCAGTCCCTTGGGTTGCAAGGGTATTCTCTTTAAAGTTCCTTGAATAATTTCATACAATCGTGTTGATGTTATCTCTGAATACTTGAAAACATGATGAATGGAGGAATTTAGGCAAAATCACGTTAGGGTTTCAAGCCATGTGAAGAGAACTCTTTCTTCTCTGTATACAACGAAAATTAGATGCAAAAATGTTTGATGGATCTTTCTAGATCCTTTAGTACATATTTATACAATGGGCCCAAGAGACCAACTAACCTGCTAACTAAGAATACTAAGCAGTATTACAAAAATAGCCAGAATAAAATAAATATAGCTATTACACAGCTAACCACTAGTGTTACTACTTCTTATGTTTGGGGCTAGAGGCTAAATACTCCATCATGCCAACACTCCCTCCCCCCTCCCCCCCTCAAGTTGGAGGGGGAGACCACCTGCAACTTGGAGAGCAAATGATGATGAAGAGTGCCCGGTAGAGGCTTAGTGAGCAGATCAGCTAGCTGGTTGGAGGTACTGACATGAAACAACTGTACCAAATCATCACCCAGCTTTGTCCTTATGAGGTGGCAGTTAACTTCAATGTGCTTCGTTCGTTCATGGAAGACTGGATTCTTAGCTATATGAAGGGTTGCTTGATTGTCACAAAAAAACAGAAAAAAGAAGCATAACAGGAACAACAAAATCATGTAACAACCTAGAAAACCAAGTTAACTCAGCAACCACTTTGCTTAAAGCCATGTATTCAGCTTCAGCTGAAGAAAGAGAAACAATGGGCTGTTTCTTGGACTTCCAACTAACCAGACTGTCCCTTAGAAAAATGCAAAACCCAGTGATAGACCTCCTAGTGTCAGGGCAAGCTGCCCAATCACTATCTAAGAAAGCAGTAATAGAGAAATCATTGGAATCTGAGCAAAACAAACCCAGATCCATAGTACCTTTGAGATATCTCAATACATGTAAAGCATCAGTAATGTGAGGGACCCTGGGAGACTTTAGAAACTGACTTAAATGTTGAACAACAAAATGGATATCAGGTCTGGTATGAGTGAGGAAAAGCAATTTCCCAACCAGACTTCTAAAGGACTCAAGAGCAGGCAGTAAATCACCAGAATCAGCAGACAGCTTGGTGTTCAAATCTAATGGATAGACCACAGGAGTGACTGTAGAGCAGGCAAACTGCTGAATAAGATCTAAAGTAAATTTCTTTTGGTTGAGAATAACTCCACCAGAAAAATAACATACTTCAATACCCAGGAAGTAATGTAAAGACCCCAAATCTTTGATTTTGAATTAAGAGTCCAAGAACTGCTTCAAAGAATTGATCTCAACACTGTCATCTCCAGTTATAATGATGTCATTCACATACATAGCTAGAAGAACCATATGCCCAGATGTGCCTTTGACAAACAAAGATGAGTCATTAAGGGAATGAGAATAACCCCGAGAATATAAGGCTTGGGAAAGCTTGGCATACCATTGCCTAGAAGCCTGTCTAAGACCATAAAGGGATTTCTTCAGTTTACAGACAAGAGGAACAAAAGTAGAAGGAGAAGAGATGGACAGCCCCTGGAGTAATTTCATATAAACCTCCTCATTAAGATCCCCATGAAGAAAAGTGATAATAGGCTATATAGTTGTTATTTACACCATAATTGCCCATGCTTTGTTGTTGTTTTATAATGTAAGTTGCCAATAAAATGCTTTAATTAATGCTATTTGGTTTCGCAAGGAATATAAGATGTGAGGAAGCAACATGAAGTGTTTAGAGGCAATAACGTGAAGAAAACACCCACTCAAAAAAGTACCTGAACACAAAAGAGCAGAAAAAAGAGAGAAGGAACGCGGAGACAAAGAGGCCCAGTTACTCACCGCGGTCCGCGCCATGGTTGGAGGCAGTGTCCTCCGCAGTCAGTGTCGGGGTCGACGCGGCAGCGGCGGCGGCGTGTGTACAGTCCAGAAATTTAAGGGGCCAAAGTGTCAATTCGGGATAGCTTCTGTAAAACCCTTATAGGATGTAGGAAACTCGCCCAAGAGAAGGAGACTTATTTGGGGATTATTTTGGCAAGAAGAACAAGTGTGAGAGATCACCCAAAACATCATAGTTCTTATTCTCTTNGTCCTACGTGTGTTCATGGAGCGGAGAAGGCAATAATCAAGAGGTAAGGGAAGATATGAATTATGTCAACAACTATGGGGGTCAGAGGCAAGGAGCACAGTAGTGGAGACCGCAACAAAATCAGCAGTACAGGCCTAATATGCAGCAGCCTGGGGGTATGCACCCTCAAAACCAATTGGTGCCAGTACCATATCAGAAACCACAGGGCTATCCACAGCAAAATTAGCAACAATTGACATACCAACCACCCCCTCAGCAGCAAGATAACAGCATGGTGGAAATCAGGGGTATGCTTCAGCAACTCATTGGGACAAATAATAAAGTGCAAGAAAAATTGGCAGTGCATGATTCAGCCATAAAGAATATTAAAACGCAGCTGGGTCAGCTGTCCATGGCTTTGAACAACCGTCCTCAGGGAACTTTGCCTGCAGACACAAACATAAACCCCAAGGACCAAAACCCGAATCAGCTGATGGCAGTAAGTCTCTGGAATGGGAAAGATTTAGACAGAGAGCAGGAAATTGCACAAGCTAGCAAGGATACTACACCAGCCACTCCAGTTCAATTAGAGGTAGAGGAACCAACAGAACTTACTGAAGTGGTGGTTGAGCAGAGTCAGGAGGAAAAAGGCAAAGAAAAGATGAATGAGCAAGTTGCAGAACAAGTGGCACCTCTTGTGCCAGAAAATTCTAACAGAGAGAAGCTAGCAAGCAATGCACAAAGGATGATACCTGCACCCTTCCCTCAGAGACTGGTCAAACAAAAGAAGGCAGACCAATATAAGAAGTTCATGGAGATGTTGCGTCAAATTCAGTTGAATATTCCCTTGATGGATGCCTTGAAGGAGATGCCTGGTTATGTTAAGATGATGAAAGATCTAATGTCACGGAAGTTTGATTTTCAGGATCTATCCACGGTAACTTTGACACAGACCTGCAGCGCAGTGGTGGCAAAACTGATGGCTCAAAAGATGTCGGATCTAGGTAGCTTCACTATTCCATGCACAATTGGAAGTTATGCCTTTACAAAGGCGTTGTGTGATTTGGCAGCCAGCATAAATCTGATGTCGTTGGCTGTGTACACCAAACTGGGCATTGGTAGAGCTAGGCCAACCTCGATGCTACTACAGCTGGCTGACCGCACAGTGAAGAGGCCCACTAGTATTCTTGATGATGTGTTGGTGCAAGTGGGGAAATTCGTGTTCCCTGCATACTTTGTTATCTTGGATTGTCAGGTGGATGGGAAGATACCCCTTATTTTAGGGAGAATATTTTTAGCCACAGGGAGAGTACTGATCGATTGTGAAACTGGGGAATTAAAAATGAGATTGAACGATGAAGAAGTCATATTCAATGTTCAGCAATCTATGAGGAGACCCATTGAATGTGCTAATTGCTCTCTAGTGGAAGCAGTGGATGTAATCCTGCAAGAAGATGATAGGACCCTAATTGTAAAAGATCCATTGGAGGCATGTCTGATGAATTTAGAAGAAATGGATGGTGAAGGGTTAGCTGAATGGGTCATGGCACTGGAAGGCCGAGGATTTTGGTCAAGGGAACCTCAGTTCGAGTCCCTTGAGCTAGAAAAAAGGGCCACCCCTCCAGTAAAACCATCAATAGAGGAACCACCCAAGTTGGAACTGAAGCCACTCCCAGATCACCTCAGGTATATGTTCTTAGGCCCTGATTCGACCTTGCATGTTATCATATCATCCAGTTTGCTAGATGTGCAGGTAGAACGGCTCGTACAGGTACTGCAGGAAAACAAGACTGCCATTGGCTGGACCATGGCAGATATAAAGGGTATCAGCCCAGCCTTCTGTATGCATAAGATTCTCCTGGAAGAGGGACACAAACATTCTAGGGAATACCAGCGAAGGCTGAACCAAAACATGAAAGAGGTTGTAAAGAAAGAAGTAATCAAATGGTTAGATGCGGGAATCATCTTCCCCATCTTTGATAGTAATTGGGTCAGCCCTGTCCAATGTGTGCCCAAAAAGAGAGGGATGACTGTTGTAAAAAATGAGAACAATGAGTTGATCTCAACTCGTACAGTCACAGGGTGGCGTATCTGTATGGATTACAGGAAACTGAACACAGCCACCCGGAAGGACCATTTCCCCTTACCTTTCATTGACCAAATATTGGACAAGCTGGCTGGGCGATCGCACTTCTGTTTCTTGGATGGATATTCAGGGTACAATCAGATATCAATAGCCCCCGAAGATAAAGAGAAAACGTCCTTTACCTGTCTGTATGGCGTCTTTGCCTTTCGGAGAATGCCTTTTGGGCGTTGCAATGCACCCGCGACTTTTTAACAGTGCATGTTAGCCATCTTCACAGACATGGTGGATGATATTATGGAGGTCTTTATGGATGATTTCTCCGTGGTGGGAGATTCGTTCGAAGACTGTCTTCACAACTTAAGGAGAGTGCTTAAAAGATGTGTGGAGACAAACTTAGTGCTAAACTAGGAGAAGTGCCATGTTATGGTACAAGAAGGTATAGTCCTGGGGCATCGAGTGTCCAATAAAGGAATTGAGGTCGACCATGCTAAGGTTGACGTGATTGAGAAGCTACCACCGCCCACTTCAGTCAAGGCGGTGAGAAGGTTTCTTGGACACGCTGGGTTCTACCGGCGTTTCATAAAAGATTTTTCCAAAATTGCTAACCCATTATGCAAACTCCTTGAAAAGGATCAGCCCTTTGTGTTTTCTAATGATTGCAGGTTGGCATTTGAGGAACTAAAGAAGAGGTTGATAACTGCACCCATCATTGTTGCACCTAACTGGGAGCAACCATTTGAGCTCATGTGTGATGCTAGCGAATATGCTATAGGAGTAGTCTTGGGGCAGCGAAAAGATAAGCTGATGCACCCGATTTACTACACAAGCAGAACGCTAAGCGATGCACAGCTCAATTACACAGTGACGGAGAAGGAGATGTTGGCGGTGATGTTTGCTTTGGACAAGTTCCGATCATATCTGATTGTTTCCAAGGTAATTGTATATACTGACCATGCAGCTCTCAGGTACCTAATTGAGAAAAAGGAGTCTAAGCCGCGCCTGATTTGTTGGGTGCTACTGTTGCAAGAATTCGACCTCGAAATTCGTGACCGTAAGGGCACAGAAAATCAAGTCGCTGATCATCTATCGCGACTTGCAGGAGGCTTATTTGGATATTATTTTGACAAGAAGAACAAGTGTGAGAGATCACCCAAAACATCATAGTTCTTATTCTCTTCTAATTTTTTGCAATTTTCCATTATGAATATTTTCATAGTTTATTCTTACGTTGTCATGAGTAGCTAAATACTTTAATCTAAGGTTTCGGTGAAACCCGTTGGGAATGACTTGGTTGTTATATTAATATATTTTGAATTGGTTGTTAATCTCTATTTGTTCATCTACGTTTTGATTGTGGTTAGTTGAAAGGGCCCTCAATTATTCGTTCCTATTTATTATGTATCTTCTTGAGAGAGAGTACATATTTAGGTAGTTGTTTGAACAACATCACTCCCGGAGTATAGACGAGAGTCATAACCAAGGGTTTAGAGGTTGGATTAGAGATAACGATACCTCGGGTGCAATCTAAAAGAACGGTAATGTGAATCTAGCTAGCGTAGCTTGAGAGAGTGCGTCTAGTAAATTATCATAATTGCTTGAGAGAGATTTATAATAGCTGGAGAGTTCTTGATTGATAGAGACAACTAAGGCATCGCTATAAGAAACATACAACCAAGGAAATCACCAACGGGGAAAACCATTACCTTAGACCTTATTTCAACTGTTTACACATCAAGCATAGTTAATTTGGAGCTGTTAATTATTTTCAGACTTTAGTTGTTAGAAATATCATCAATTGTGAATTGGAAAGTTTGGGGAAATTGATTTTGTGAATTTAGTAAATCCGTCTAAAGTAATTGATAGGTTAATTCTCTGTGGTTCGACTCTGGGTAGAATTACTCAGATTATATTTTCTACGTCCGTGTATGTCTTTGTATAAGGCATAGTTTGGCGTTATCAAATTTTGGCGCCGTTACCGGGGACCGTAATTCGTGACCGTAAAAGCACAGAAAATCAAGTCGCTGATCATCCATCGCGACTTGAAGGAGCTGAAAATTCAGTCGAGGTCGAAGAGATCCTGGAAACCTTTCCAGAAGAGCAGCTGCTCGTAGTCAGTTTTGAGGATGCACCATGGTATGCAGATTTTGCGAACTACCTGGCCTGCAGTATTGTTCCCTATGACCTTTCATCTGTCCAAAAGAAAAAGTTTTATCGTAATTGCCGCATGTATTATTGGGACGAGCCTTATTTGTTTAGAATCTGTGTTGATAATATGATCCGGAGGTGTGTCCCCGAGATAGAAGAATCTTCTGTTTTGTAGGCTTGTCACGCATCAACATATGGAGGACATTTTGGAGGAGCCAGGACAGCTGCGAAAGTGCTAGAGGCCAGGTTCTTTTGGCCAACAGTGTTTAGAGATGCACACCTATGGGTGAATGGTTGCGACGAATGGCAGCGAACCGGGAACATTTCCCGTCACCATGAGATGCCCATGAACTCGATTCAAGAGGTAGAGGTGTTTGATGTTTGGGGGATTAACTTCATGGGCCCCTTCGTCAACTCATTTGGCAATAAGTATATACTTGTTACTGTGGATTATGTGTCTAAATAGGTGGAAGCTGCAGTGTTGCCCACTAATGATGCAAGAGTGGTGATAGGTTTTGTGAAAAAAAATATCTTCACCCGATTTGGGATACCAAGAGC